TAAAAGCAGCTAGGTTTCGTCAAGTTTTGAAATTGTCCAAGTAAACAAAACATGTTCACGTGATTAGCCACGTTGAGGCAGAATCAAACTAGATATGTTATTGAAAGAGACATTCCATATGGCCTTACTGCAGATTATATCACCCCCAACACCCACCCTATTACACAGATTGTTGCCATTTTAAATAAAATGAAAATACATTTATGTGACCACACCACAAATCCTTTAATCTTGAGGTGTGCCCATTGTATTGTACACAGGTCCTGGTATTGGTACAATGGAATACCATCAAACCATAAATGAATATGTACAATCACCCTTATCATACTACATAACAAGTTAATGCAGCGATGAAATATGGATACAAATATATACAGTTGAAGTCAGAAGTTTACATACACTTAGGTTGGAGTCATTAAAACTCGTTTTTTCAACCACTCCACAAATTTCTTGTTAACGAACTATAGTTTTGGCAAGTCGGTTAGGACATCTACTTTGTGCATGACACAAGTAATTTTTCCAACAATTGTTTACAGACAGATTATTTCACTTATAATTCACTGTATCACAATTCCAGTGGGTCAGATGTTTACATACACTAAGTTGACTGTGCCTTTAAACAGCTTGGAAAATTCCAGAAAATGATGTCATGACTTTAGAAGCTTCTGATAGGCTAATTGACATAATTTGAGTCAATTGGAGGTGTACCTGTGGATATATTTCAAGGCCTACCTTCAAACTCAGTGCCTCTTTGCTTGACATCATGGGAAAATCAAAAGAAATCAGCCAAGACCTCAGAAAAAAAATGGTAGACCTCCACAAGTCTGGTTCATCCTTGGGAGCAATTTCCAAACGCCTGAAGGTACCACGTTCATCTGTACAAACAATAGTACGCAAGTATAAACACCATGGGACCACGCAGCCGTCATACCGCTCAGGAAGGAGACGCGTTCTGTCTCCTAGCGATGAACGTACATTGGTGCGAAAAGTGCAAATCAATCCCAGAACAACAGCAAAGGACCTTGTGAAGATGCTGGAGGAAACAGCTACAAAAGTATCTATATCCACAGTATAACGAGTCCTATATCGACATAACCTGAAAGGCTGCTCAGCAAGGAAGAAGCCACTGCTCCAAACCGCCATAAAAAAGCAAGATTACGGTTTGCAACTGCACATGGGGACAAAGAAAGTACTTTTTTGAGAAATGTCCTCTGGTCTGATGAAACAAAAATAGAACTGTTTGTACATAATGACCATCGTTATGTTTGGAGGAAAAAGGTGGGACTTACAAGCCAATGAACACCATCCCAACCGTGAAGCACGGAGGTGGAAGCATCATGCTGTGGGGGTGCTTTGCTGCAGGAGGGACTGGTGCACTTCCCAAAATAGATGGCATGATGAGGAAGGAAAATTATGTGGATATATTGAAGCAACATCTCAAGACATTAGTCAGGAAGTTAAAGCTTGGTCGCAAATGGGTCTTCCAAATGGACAATGACCCCAAGCATACTTCCAAAGTTGTGGCAAAATGGCTTAAGGACAACAAAGTCAAGGTATTGGAGTGGCCATCACAAAGCCCTGACCTCAATCCTATAGAAAATGTGTGGGCAGAACTGAAAAAGTGTGTGCGAGCAAGGAGGCCTACAAACCTGACTCAGTTACACCAGTTCTGTCAGGAGGAATGGGCCAAAATTCACCCAACTTATTGTGGGAAGCTTGTGGAAGGCTACCCGAAACGTTTGACCCAAGTTAAACAATTTAAAGGCAATGCTACCAAATTCTAATTGAGTGTATGTAAACTTCTGACCCACTGGGAATGTGATGAAAGACATAAAAGCTGAAATAAATCATTCTCACTACTATTATTCTGACATTTCACATTCTTAAAATAAAGTGGTGATCCTAACTGACCTAAGACAGGGAATTTTTACTAGGATTATGTCACGCTCGTTGAAGGACGGGTCAGACCAAGGCGCAGCGTGAAATGCATACATGTTTATTTAACAAAATAAACACACAAACAAAAACAACAAAACAACGTAACGTGAAGTCCTCAGGCTAAACACAATACAAGCCTATACACGGAACAAGATCCCACAACTAAAGATTGCAAACAGGCTACTTAAGTATGATCCCCAATCAGAGACAACGAGCGACAGTTGCCTCTGATTGGGAATCACACCCGGCCAAACATAGAAACACAATAACTAAAATGTGAACATAGAAATAATAACATAGATCGCCACACCCTGACTCAACATACAAGAGTCAAATAAGTCAGGGTGTGACAGTAACCCCACCAAAGGTTCGGACTCCGACCGCACAAACCTGACATAACAGGGTAGGGTCCGGCTCCGGGCGTGACGACCACATTCTCTCAGCCTCCCCGTTGCGCCCCTGGTCTGGTCTGGACCTCGGCGCGCTGCTTCCCCTCTCCTTCCTCCCACGATGCACCAAGCCCTGTCAGGGCCCTGGTGTGGGAGACCCCGAACCTGGAGAGGGGCTGACGTCTGGGTCTGGACTGGAGCCGCTGACCGGAGCTGGACTAGGCACCGGTGGAGCGGACTGCTCTGGCTCCGGAGTGGAGCTGCTGACTGGAGCTGGACTGGACCCCGGTGGAACGGACTGCTCTGGCTCTGGAATGGAGCCGCTGACCGGAGCTGGACTAGGCACCAGTGGAGCGGACTGCTCTAGCTCTGGAGTGGAACTGCTGACCAGAGCTGGACTGGGCACCGGTGGAGCGGACTGCTCTGGCTCCGGAGTGGAGCTGCTGACTGGAGCTGGACTGGACCCCGGTGGAACGGACTGCTCTGGCTCTGGAATGGAGCCGCTGACCGGAGCTGGACTAGGCACCAGTGGAGCGGACTGCTCTAGCTCTGGAGTGGAACTGCTGACCAGAGCTGGACTGGGCACCGGTGGAGCGGACTGCTCTGGCTCCGGAGTGGAGCAACCGACCGGAGCTGGATCAGGCACCGGTGGAGCGGACTGCTCTGGCTCCGGAGTGGAGCAGCTGACACCGGTGGAACGGGCACGGGCCGTGCCGGACTGGACACACGCACCACTGGTCTGGTGCGAGGAGCAGGCACGGGCCGGACCGGACTAGGAACACGTACCACTGGTCAGGTACGAGGAGCAGGAACGGGCCGGGCCGGACTGGCAACACGCACCACTGGCTTGGTGCGGGGAGCAGGCACGGGCCGTACCGGACTGGGAATATGCACCACTGGCCTGGTGCGAGGAACAGGAACGGGCCGGACTGGGAACACGCACCACTGGTCTGGTGCGAGGAACAGGAACGGGCCGGGCCGGACTGGGAACACGCACCACTGGTCTGGTGCGAGGAACAGGAACGGGCCGGGCCGGACTGGGGACACACACCACTGGCCTGGTGCGGGGAGCAGGTACGGGTCGTACCGGGCTGGCGACACGCACCACTGGCTTGGTGCGAGGAGCAGGAACGGGCCGGACTGAGGACACACACCACTGCCTTGGTGCGAGGAGCAGGTACGGGCCGTACAGGACTGGTGAGGTGCACTGGTGACACAGTGCGTAGAACCGGAGCAGGATATACTGGACCTTGGAGGCGCACTGGAGACCAGGAGCGTTGAGCCGGCACAACCCGTCCTGGCTGGCTGCCCACTTTCGCACGACACATGCGGGGCGCTGGCACAGAACGCACTGGGTGGTGCATGCGCACTGGCGATACAGTGCGTATCTCCGCATACATGGGTTCCTCAATTAACCCACGCTCCTTATGTTGCCTAACCAGCTCCTCTATCCGTGCATCTACTTCCTCCTTCTACCTACGAGCCTCCTGCAGTGCCTCCTCTTGAATGGAGCTCTCCCACTCTATTCTCGCTATCAGCCCCCGTAATGTGGTGGCCTCCTCTCTTACCCTGCAGATCTGATCCTTCTCTCTCTCTCGGCAATCCTCCTCCAGTGAGGACTCCCACGAGTTAGGGAACAGAAACTCATCGTCGTTGTCATCCTCCGACTCCTCAGTATAAAACTGTTCCCACTCTTGTTCCCATGGTCGTAGGGACTCAACCCTGGAAACCCACCGGGTGCAGTGGTCGGGGCTCTTCTCTCTCGCTCCCCGACCACCCCTTTAGCCCCCCAATTTTTTTTTATTGGGGCTGCCTCTCGGGCTTCCTCCTCGGCCGGCGCCCTCTGTGTTGCCGTTGCTCCTCTCCTGCCTGGGCATCTACCTTCGCCCATGGTCCATTCCCCCGCAAATATCTCCTCCCAAGACCACATCTTCCCCACCTGTGTCCAGGGTGTTTGCTCCTGGGCACGCTGCTTGGTCCGTGTTTGGTGGGATCTTCTGTCACGGTCGTTGAAGGACGGGTCAGACCAAGGCGCAGCGTGAAATGCATACATGTTTATTTAACAAAATAAACACACGAACAAAACAATGTAACGTGAAGTCCTCAGGCTAAACACAATACAAGCCTATACACGGAACAAGATCCCACAACTAAAGATTGCAAACAGGCTACTTAAGTATGATCCCCAATCAGAGACAATGAGCGACAGCTGCCTCTGATTGGGAATCACACCCGTCCAAACATAGAAACACATTAACTAGAATGTGAACATAGAAATAATAACATAGATCTCCACACCCTGACTCAACATACAAGAGTCCCATAAATCAGGGCGTGACAGATTAAATGTCAGGAATTGTGAAAAACTGAGTTTAAATGTATTTGGCTTAGGTGTATGTAAACTTCCGACTTCAACTGTATATTTACCATCTCACTGTATACACAATTAGTCATTCATCTGTGGTGTACTTGGTTGGAATGAAGTCTCACCACTGAGACTGTTGTTGTTTACCAGGATGCATTGCTACATCATGCTGCTAAGGAGCTGAGGGTGAGTGGGAAGGGCCATCTGCACCTGAGGGGAGGTTACACCTGCAGAGCTTCCAGAGGGCGGGCCCTGCCATACACAGAGGACGAGAGAAAGGGACGGGGGATTGAGCTCAGCTGGAGCCAATGCAGCAGCAGAGTCGACAGCCTGAGCTAGTGGAAGGAAGCCTTCCCGTGTTTGTGTACCCCACAGAGCTCGTCTTCTACGCAGACAAGCAGACCTCCCACAAGCAGGTGCTCACCCTCTACAATCCCTATGAGTTCGCCTTCAAGTTCAAAGGTAAATAAAAAAGACATTTTTTGAGTTTCAAGACAAGGTATTTTTATAAGAACCATTTTAGCCATCAAGTCAAGAGAACCAAATTGATACGGTAGTGTTAAGTGTTGATTTATACACTACTGATTCACAGTATCTTCTCTCTGTCAGTGCTATGCACAGCGCCAAACAAGTATACTGTGGTGGACTCCACCGGAGACGTGAAACCACAGTGCTGTGTTGACATGTGAGTAATATGACAGAATAAGCTTATTATGTACACTACTAGTCAAAAGTTTGGACACACCTACTCATTCAAGGGTTTTTATTATAATTTTTAATTTTTTACATTGTAGAATAATATTGAATACATCAAAACTATGAAATAACACATATGGAATCATGTAGTAACCAAAAAAGTATTAAACAAATTAAACAAAACATTTATATTTGAGATTCTACAAATAGCCTCCCTTTGCCTTGATGACAGGTTCCGTTACCCTCCTTTTAGGCATATTCATGAAGGACATGATGTTCATGATGTGCCACTGCAAGCCTGAGTGCAAATTATGAAATATCAAGCAATATTAAGAGAAAGATTTCATCGGAAGCAATCGTCTGCTTAGAAAATGCATAGTCATTCCATTCAAATATTCTTATCGTTCAATTTAGTTTTCCTGTCTGTGTATGTGTGTGTGTTCTCAGAGTAATTCAACAGAAATATGTGCGGGCCTGCCACAATGGGGTGTATGATAAGTTCCGGCTGCAGGTGTCAGAGCAGAGTCAGATGAAGGCCCTGAGCCGGAAGGAGGTGATGGCCACTCTGAGGCCCTCACTTGTCCAGGAGCCCTCCAGTCCCGGCCCCAGGAGGAGGAGCGACGGATGAAGGAACAGCTGGCTGACAGCGTCTTCTTTGAGTAGACCACCTTCCAGACAGGTAGGAGTATGACTGACTGCTGAAAAGGGATATCTTGCCCAAACTTAGCTATGGATCCCTATTAAGTACGTTATGTGCCCTGAGATTTCGAGACCAAAAATATATTAGCCAACATTATGTAAGGCAGCCAGCTATAGGCTACATTTGTTGTTTAGATGGACTATCCTTTAACTGAAATGGATGCACTGCATGCTATTATATTGTTCTGACACTAGATGGTGCCAGATACCAATACAAGTCGAGAGTGATCAACTGAGAGGGGCCCAGCCTGCTGACAGTGCTACTGGAGCTGGTGTGTATGGCTGCCCTCATGCTGCCCACCCTGGGGGAGCATGAATCCACCGTGCCAGTCTACCTCCACTTAAGTGTTAACAATAAAATTGTAGCTGCTTATGTTCTAGGTGAGTCAGGGGGAGAGGGCAATCCGTTGATGCTCGCTGTTTTTCATTCTATCACCAATTTCAATGGATATTAATTGATAATACTTACAGTTTTTCTCAATTGCTAAAACACTAAACCCTATTGTCTGAACCAAATGCTCAGTTGCCTGAACCCACTGATTGAATCAATCACTCTTTTGGCAAAACCATAAGCACTTTTCACCTGTTTAGACATAACTTGCCAACACATTTTCATTGTGATGCACCCGTGCTGCATAATGGTGAGCACAGGTGACAAAAGTCAAACACAATTAGAGCACAGGTGTCACCACTTGAACACAACAACTCAAAATTGATCACACTTGTGGCTAATGATGTGAGGGAACATATACAGTAAGCCAGTTCAGAGAGCACTGGTTTGTGAGGCCCTACAATGGATAGAAATCTGAGAGGAAGAGTTCGTGTGAGAGGTCGAGGTGGTCAGCGAAGACAAAGAACAGTAATATCTGATGAAATCAGAGCTACTGTGATTGACCATGTTCTTGTCCATGGTATGAGCATGAGGGAGGCTGGACAAAGGGTACAACCAAACATCAGTAGATTCACTGTGTCCACCATAATCCGAAGATTTAGAGAAGAGAACAGGTAATTACCTTTTTTTTGACATTATAGTACAGTATGTAAATGTTGACAGCAATTACTGTATGACATACTATATACTGTACCACAGTATACTGTAAGTAAATATATGTTTCAGTACATCACTGTACCAATGTACTGTAGTATTGTAATGGAGGGTTGGTCTAACTGTTTGTAGGCCTAGTATTCCATGTATATTTTTTGTAACTCCATGTTCTCTTTTTGTAGAATTGAAAGACTGCCACATGGGGGTGGGAGGACAGGTATGTTCTCCACACACCAAGAGACCCTAATTGTTGATATGGTCCGTGAGAACAATGCCATTAAACTGAGCGAAATTCAGCAGAAGATCATTGAGGACCATTTAAATTTTGAGGGTATCAACAGTGTCAGCCTCTCTACTGTTGATCGTGTCCTCAAGCGCAACAGACTGCGCATGAAACAGCTATACAGAGTGCCCTTTGATCGCAACTCAGACAGAGTCAAAGAGCAAAGATTCCAGTATGTACAGGTTGGCATATATCCAGACACATTCAATGTTGATTACTCTAAGTAGTGATTTACTGTAGTGGCCTAAATCACTTTTTCCGTATCACTTACAAAACTATATCTATTTCTACAGAGGGTTTTTCAACTGGATGCAATGGAAAGACCCCATCAATACATCTACATGGATGAAGCTGGGTTTAATCTCACCAAAAGGAGAAGGAGAGGCCGTAATGTGATTGGCCATCGGGCCATTGTTGGTGTTCCTGGGCAGCGTGGTGGCAATGTCACATTATGTGCTGCCATCAGCAATCATGGGGTTGTCCACCATCATGCCAACCTGGGGCCCTACAACACTCACCAGCTCCTCATTTTCCTCAATCACATGCGAGATGCTTTGTTAGGGCAGCAGGATGAGCATCCCATCTATGTTGTTGTTTGGGACAATGTGAGTTTTCACAGAGCCCTCCAGGTTAGAGAGTGGTACAATATGAACCAAGGTTTTATCAATCTTTGCCTTCCACCGTACTCCCCTTTCCTAAACCCCATTGAGGAATTATTCTCCTCATGGCGGTGGAAGGTATATGAACGCCAACCTTACACCAGGGTAAATCTCCTGCAAGCCATGGGACTTGCCTGTGGTGACATAGGTGTGGAGGCATGCCAAGCCTGGATACGGCATGCCAGGGGTTTTTTCCCCCGTTGCCTGGCCAGACAAAATGTGGCCTGTGATGTGGATGAAGTCCTGTGGCCTGACCCAGTACGGAGACATGATGCTGTGGCTGAGTAATGCACTTATTTGTATATTTTTGTACTTTATTTTTACATGGGCTTACTGTACATAAGTGGCAAACGCATAAGATTTCTGTTTGTTTTTACAAGTGCTACATGTAAATGCACAAGATTTCTGTTTTGTCTTTTTGTACAAGTGCTAAATGCACAGTTTTTTTTGTTTTGCAACATGCATTTAGCCTACAGTGAACAATAAACATTTATTTCTCCAGCTTCATTTCCTGAGCATTGTGTTTTCTATTTTTCTACGTAGTGTTTAGTGACTGTTCAGTAGTGTTTTTAATTTTGATTGACTCGGGGCACGATTTGACAACATAGTTCAGTTTTGAGCACAGATTGAACTGTTTTGAGGTGAAAGTTTGGTTTTGTAAGAAGAGTCTGAGGTTTTGTGAATGTAGCTTGAAAATTGGGTTTTGTGTTCACAGTTAAGAGAAAAGGAGAGCAGCTTTCAAGAAATGTGTCTTAGCAATCGAGAAAAACTGTAATGGGAGTCATTCAGCCCACACATTGTTGAATTCATAAACACCTTGTTAGGATGCATCCCAAATGATACTAGGCACTGGTCTAGTATCAAAAGTAGTGCATTCTAAACTAAACTGTTCTATCCATTCCATGTGCATACTCTTGTAGGAAATTGATTCAGTTTGCCTGTGTGTGTTACAGGTCTTCTTACAATGGTTATCCTGCATACATTAAATGGTATAGGGGCTGACTTTTCTCTGGAACGAGAGAACAAGGAGAAGAGGATGCACAAGAGAAGATGAGAACATTCACTCATCCAAGGCTTGAAATTGTAGTGTCGATGGTGGGGGTATCAGGTCAATTTCCCCTTCCTCTGCCCCAAAAATATTTCAAGAAATTGAAATAAAAACGTAATATTGACTGATGCAAAGCAACAGAGACCTCCAATACCGCAGGCACAAGAATGACATGCTCGAAGGAAGGCATTGTGTGGGTCTGGAGCCATGGGAGGAAGGATTTGTATAGAAACCTGGGGGTCATTAAAGGTCAACTGCACCTTAGAACCAACTTCTCTGGTTTTAAATGGCCTTATGTGGCTTCAATATGTATCAGAAACATAAATTATAGTGTCAAAATTGACTACAAAGTGTAAATAGGATAATTTTGGTCATAAAGTTAGTCTCGTCCAAAACAGAGTTTTGTAAGTGAGTTTTTGACGACTTACTGGAGGGTTGGGTATGGATTATTATCATGTCCAGTGCCCACTAACAGCTGTGCTGTGCTGATTGTGCTCTATCAGCTGTGTGCGCTCTATCCAGTCATAGCAGCCAGAACCTCCAGTCAATGAGACAGACCTGCCCATTACACAGCGCCTCAAAGTTATGTTGAAATAACCCTTGGCCCTAAGCCCTTTATGGAGTGGCCACTTGCTGATGTGTTTGATAGTGTCAATCACTTGACTCTGCCACTTTTTGGGGCAAAATGAGAATTGAGACGATCAGAGCGCACTTGCACACTGGTAGCAGATAGTGAGAAAGATGTAAAATTGCGCGACGTCCTCGGCAAAAACGTCCAAATTAATTACAGATTTCTTGATTTATCTTAATTCTGATTATTTTAAGGAAGTGACTATTTTGAGGAAGTGGATATGTTGTTGCTATGGTGACTCAGGAGGTACAAACAACAGCACCTGCCAGGGTACGATATGTGAACATAACACATAACCCCTAAGACAACTATCGTTTGGCTTCAGTCATGGCCACTAGCATTTCTTAAAGAGCAATGTTCAAAACAAGGTCAAATCAGGCCTTTAAATTAAGTGTTGTTTGACTTCATATCCCCAGTCTGTGTGGAGTTCCATGGTCATTATGTAACAGAAAATTGTAAAGTTGAGTTAAAAGTTGGTGATTTGCTGTTACACATAAGGGCAACTGAAGTTAAGTGATTTCATATCCATATTTAGCCATTACAAATATGTTATGGTCTTCACCAGTAACCACTTCTTCTCCTTAATATTTCCACTTAGAATGAAACAATGTACTTTTTTTTTTCTTTTTTAAAAATCTAGCATAGACTGCATTTAGTCAGAAGAGATTCAGTTACAGTGCCTTCAGAAAGTATTTATACCCCTGGATTTATTCCACATTTTGTAGTGTTGCAGCCTGAAAATTGATTAAATAGGCCCTTCTCACCATCTACACACAATACGCCATAATGACAAAGTGATTGAAAATAAAATATCTCATTTACACCCCTGAGTCCACACTTTGTAGAAGCGTCTTTGGCAGTGATAACAGCTGTGAATCTTTTTGGGTAGGTCTCTAAGAGCTTTCCACACCTGGATTGTGCAATATTTCCCCATTATTCTTTTAAAAAATCTTCAAGCTCTGCGAAATTGGTTGTTGATCATTGCTAGACAACCATTTTCAGGTCTTGCCATAGATTTTCAAGTAGATTTAAGTCAAAACTGTAACTCAGCCATTCAGGACCATTCACTGTCTTCTTGGTAAGCAACTCCAGTGTAGATTTGGCCTTCTTTTAGGTTATTGTCCTGCTGAAAGGTGAATTAATCTCCCAGTGTCTGGTGAAAAGCAGAATAAAGCAGGTTTTCCTCCAGGATTTTGCCTGTGCTTAGCTCCATTCCATTTATTTTTTTATCCTGAATAACTCCCCACACCTTAACGATTACAAGCATACCCATAACATGATGCAGCCACCAGTATGCTTGAAAATATGGAGAGTGGTACTTGGTAATGTGTTGTATTGGATTTTCCCCAAACATAACACTTTATATTCAGGACAAAAAGTGAATTGCTTTGCCACATTTTTTTGCAGTATTACTTTAGTGCCTTGTTCCAAACAGGATGCATGTTTTGGATTTTTTTAAATGATGTACAGGCGATATTCAGTCTGTCAATTAATGTGGAGTAACTACAATGATGTTGATCCATCCTCAGTTTTCTCCTATCACAGCCATTGAACTCTGTTTTAAAGTCACCATTGGCCTCATGGTGAAATCGCTGAGCGTTTTCCTTCCTCTCAGGCAACTGAGTTAGCAAGGAGGCCTGTAGTGACACACCATCTAAAGTGAGCTCCTGAGTGGCGCAGTGGTCTAAGGCACTGCATCGCAGTGCTAACTGTG